AAGGCGAGCTGGCCCTAAGGTTAGTAGAGGAACTGGGCTATGACTTGGGGAGTATTCTCCTCTGGCAGAAACATAAGTAGTACTCTCCTTTGGCCTGTACTGTGATGCAGGTTTTCGTGTTTCGCTTGAAGGCTTGATCTGATCAGGCTATTCCTACAAAAGGATTACCCTGCTGTTATCACTGATGACAGGTCGGTTGTTGATCCGTCAGTTTACGACTCAACCCTAATTCACTCTCAATACTCAACCGAAACAGGATTTAGCCCTGGTGATTTTTATTGTTTTGTTATGATTTCACCCGGACTTTTATTGAATGGTCATTAAACAAAAGTACTGAGTATTTAATTATGGTTGGTTGGCMGGAGGTTGGGGCTTGCATGGCTAAAACAAAGGGTATGAGTATAGAGAGTGGTTGGAGTTGACTCCGTGTAGTGCGTGGATCTTTNGAGTATAGAGAGTGGTTGGAGTTGACTCCGTGTAGTGCGTGGATCTTTGCTTGATTTTGTGATGTGATTGCAGGTATGTGTGGAAGAGTCTCGATCGATTCATGTTGAGTGATATTGCTAAGGATTCAGATGGGCAAAACCACATAACTGTCGTGAGAGTGAACTACCCCACACCCTCTCGTTTGAGTGAGATTGTTCCTTTCCTGTTCAGATAATGTGATAATCTACGTATGTGTACGCTCGGGTAACCCTCACAGGGCTATGGGACCGCACGCCCACGTTTTTCTTATTCAATGCCGACCAGATGGTAGGATGTTATTTCCAAGCCTGGAATTCAAGGTCCTCATCCAGGACGGCCCAGGGCCTAGGCCTAGCCCTGACGGCGTTTCTTTTGATAATGTCAATAGTATTCATTTTTCATCCTTGTTGGGGTTTATTTTGGTGGAACGATAAAGTTCCAGGCGGAAGGGTTGGCGTGTCGCTGGTGGTGCGCCAGACAACTTACCACCGCTCTGAATTCCTTCCTGCCCTAGGGACCATCTCACCTCGCGCCCTTCGGGACACCTTAGGGTGCAGAAGATGGTAAGGCCCTCAGGCCGATTTTGCGCCCGCTAAAGGCTTACCCCCCTTAGCGCGCACTTCAGCCAACGCTAGAGCATCGGAGACAACCCCAGGGCTCAGAAGAGGCCATTTGGGTATGGGCACCACATAATGCGCCGTCAATCGCGGACACTCGCGTAGATCTGCATGATAAATTGGTATGTGTAGGTCCTGCTTCCGCGCGATCTTATACTAAATCCGCACGCGCAACACTTACCGATTCTCGCACTAAAGTTATGGGTCGGGCGGCGAGAACCAATGCGCGTTATGACTAATAGATTCGGGTTTTTCAGTATCGCGAAGCGACGCATGAGCGAACTACCAATCTCAGTCGACCTATGGGAGTCCGTGTACGGGTCTTCATTATCCCGGACATCGGGTAGCCTATGGGTCTGATTTTTGGGTCTCCTCCGCGCGCGCTTTGTTTGCGTCCGCCTACCCCCTTTATTTTAGGAGGCCACCAAACCGTACGAGTTGGGATAAGTTCCTCTTTCGAATTTTCATGGTTGGACGTTGTAGTCTGTGGCAGCCGTCAAAGTCAAACCCCTTGATATTTTAGCGTCACGGCAACTTAAAGTTGTCTACTCAACCCCTCTACACAGGGTGCAGAAGAGAGTGTGGTCTTCAACCGCACATGGCGGTTGTCTGACGTCGAGAGATTACCCCTCAAAGCGTCTGTCAGCCGACACTCGAGTGTCGAACGCGACCCTCGAGATTACCAAGGGCCGCGAGGTTATGAGTACCACATAGTACCCCATCAGCGCGAGTGCTTGCGTATGCCCGCATGGCTGGTTGATATGAGGAGGTCATGCGCTCGCTCAATACTTATACGGAAATCCAGCGCGCAATGCCTATCTGAGTTTCGCAGCATAAAGTTATGGATCGGATACTGAGGGGACTAGGAGTATTGTGGTGTTGTGGCGTCGTGTGTTGTTTTGTGTATCTCCGTAAGTTATATGTGGGTAGATGTGCGTGTTGTGGTGTATGTGTAGTGTGTGCGATGCGTCCTAGTCGACCGGCGCCGAGTCGTGTTTGGGACCTCAGCCCCCCAGAACGTCAATTCGCGTACGGGCTCGAATTTTGGGCGTTCGACCATGCGTAACCCCCTATGCTACAGCGAACGGGAAACACCCTCGGCTGGGCCACCTCTGCAATTGCATACGAAAAGCTTTCACATGTGGTTCAGTAGCTCGGCAGAGATACGCCCACCTAAGGGATGGTGACAACTCCCAGGTGGAGGTAAGCGATGCCTCGCGTGATCTTGTCCTGTCGTAGGGGGCCGCGAGAGGTACGGCTGGCGCACTCGGCCGGAGCGGCAAACGCTCTCTGCGACAAGTCCTGCATAATCCTGCGTGACGCGGCCAGGAGGGTCCCCGTGCGGGACCGATGCGCTCGACAGGTGGCGTCGTTGCCGGGGATCTCGGCTGCCTACCGGGGTCCTTAAGAGAACGAACCCAGGTTAAGTGCAGGCTGATGATCTAGGCAAAACGACAAAAGCTTACGGTTTGGAGTGTTTTATATAAGAGGATTGTGTAGGATATAATAACAAGACTAAGTGTTCAGAAGTGCGATTGAAGGTTGTATTTAAGTCTTTGAGTAACTAAGAGTAGAATGACTGACTAAACATAGAGGTGGAACGGCTAGATAGGATTTAGGACAAGTCCCCTAGAACTTGACAAGCTGTCTGGTGGGCTACCCTCCCTTTCTAATTGGTTAGTTGGCCAAGGGAGGTAAAGATGTCGGACGCAGATGGAATTGAGCGGGGCCCGGCAGCTATGCCAGAAGACTTTGTGAAGGCCATTGAGAAGAGAGAGCTAGCACGACTACAGGTACCGAAGGTTGACATCTTCTGGTTTGAAGAGGAAAGGGTGTCCAAATGGCTAGAGTTGTTGGAACAGGTTACAGGCGAGGTGTCGGATGCAAACAAGTTCCAAATCCTACCCAGATACGTCTGGTGAGAAACCCGGCCCGAGGTAATGAAGGTGGTTGCTGGAGCAGGGGGAGATTGGGCCAAGTTCAAGGGGGAAATGCATAGGCGTTTTAAGCTAGGGGATGGTCTGCTAACAAAAACAGACCTAGAAATGTTACGGCGCGATGAGTTTTCCACTGTGGGGGCTTTCACTACGGCATTCGAGAAGATGGCAAGGAAGGTCCCAGGATTAGCCAAAGAGGAATAGTGTGCAACCTTCCTGGGGCACTTCAAGAATTGGGAGGCCTCCGCGCTAACCAAGAAGGCTGTGCCGGGGAAGAAGTTGACTTGGGCTGCCATAAAAGAGGGCGTGATAGATGGGGAACTGGATCAAGTGGATATCTTCCAAATGCGACAGGCTAGGAAGAAAAGGAAGGCCTTGGACGCCACGACGAGTGACGGGCGAGACTTTAAGAAACTGATAGAGGAGGTTGTTGCCCAACTTGATGCAGAGAAAGAGGCAAAGGCAGCAAGAAAGACTATGGCAGCACCACAGACCGTGGGCAAAGCGAAGAAAGCGGTAGTGCAAGCAGAGGAAGAAAAGGAGGAAGAGGAGCCTGAGCCTTTGAAGTTGACAAAGGCCCAGGGAAAAGCGAAGAATTTGGCTCAAGGGGGGCAAGGCTCAGAGCACGTTTATCCAGGAAGATGGTGGCCGGCGTGCAATTAGGGACTATAATCCCTAAGGAAGCTGAATGGGCTGAGACCGGAACTAAGATGGATTGTAAGTTCGTTGCATGTGGGTGCCTAGATGTAGTAGTGAAAGGGAAGACATGTACGGCAATGGTGGACAGTGACGCAGAGATGAACCTTATAAAAGAGGAGCATGCTTTGCGCCTAGGGATGGAGATTGACCGCTCAGACAATGGGGTCCTGATGGGGGCAAACAGTCGATCAGTGTTCATAGGGACCTCATCATCGGTAACTTTAGAGATTGGGAAAGTGAAAGTGAGAAGTTGTTTCTTCGTAATGCCTGATCTTGACCATCCTATTCTATTGGGTAGGTCGTTCCTAAGTCGGACGGAGGCCGTCATACTCAACAAGCATGACGAAACTATGTTCCTCGTTCTGTGCGATCCGGTATGCAGGAACTATGAGGTCATAACTTGCAAGAACACAGGGCCTAGAAGCATAAGGAACCAGCCCAACCCTGGTTCTTTCACTATAGCGGAGTCAGAAGAGGAAAGATTAAGGATTGAAGCCAGCAAGTATGAGGAGAGAAGAGAGCCGGAGGCACTAGCATTGAGCTTGGCAAACATAGGTGATGCTATGGATATAGTATCGACCTATGGGATGGTTGATCCAAAGGCTGTTGAAACCTTGAGAGAGAAAGTGGTAGAGAAGATGGGCTCCGGAGAAATGGAGCTGGTATATCAAACGTCTGGAAAGACAGGTGGAGCAAGTGGAGCACAACCCCAAAGCGCAACTCGGCCTTTTTTAGAGGTGGGCTCAAGCAAGGTGCACACATGCGGTACAAAAGGGTAGATCAGAAGTGCCGCCCTGTTCCCGTACTCGTCACCGAAGAGCAAGAAGTATACTATGAGCGAGAATGAGAGTTGATACGGCAGATGCGAGAGAACGCGGAGAATAGGCCATGCCGTATCAATCCTGAGACAGAAAAAACGACGATCATAGGGGAGTTTGGCTTCCTTATGGCGCAGGAAGAGAAGCTTGTGGTGGAAACCATAAGAGGAAGGCATGCTGCATATGCCTTCAGTAACGATGAGAGAGGACGATTGGACGTGGATATAATCCCAATGATTAGGATACACACTGTACCTCACGAACCATGGAATTCACGAGGTGCGCGATATCCTAATCCAGTCGATGAAGAGAAGGTAGTTAACTACCTCGATGGGAAGATCCGCACTCATGTGGCAGACTACTCGAGTGGACCGTATGCATCCCCCTGGTTTTGCATTGTCAAACCCAATGGGACTTTGAGGTGGGTACAGGATTTGCAGCGCTTGAACGCTGTAACGGTGAGGGACGCATGTGGTCTCCCTAACGCTGATGTGGTTTCAGAGGCATGCGCTGGGAGAGTCATTATATCACTCATTGACTTATATTCAGGTTATGATCAATTCCCTGTGTACCCATCAGACAGACCAATGACGGCTATGCATACACCTCGGGGGTTGATTCACATGAACGTCTCACCTCAAGGATGGATGAATGCGGTCGCCATGGTTCAGAGGCACATGGTGAGGATCATGCAGCCCATAAGTCCTCACATCACGCAGCCCTACATTGATGACCTGGCCGTGAAGGGGCCTAAGGAGAAGGATGAGCGGGAGGTGATGCCAGGAATCAGGCGCTTCGTCTGGGACCATGTACAAGACTTGTGCAAGGTCCTGGACCTACTAAAGGAGCATAACCTCACTGCCAGTGGGTCGAAGTCAAGGCACTTCATGAGCGGTGCTACAATATTAGGATTTGTGTGCGACGAGAGGAGTGGTCGACCAGATACTAAGAAGGCTAACAAGATTCTCGAATGGCCAACACCGTTCCAGACTATCACAGAGGTGAGGAGTTTTCTGGGAACGTGTGGATTTGGAAGGATTTTCATAAAAGGGTTTGCGGCGAAGACTGAGCAACTGCGAAAGCTTGTGCGTCAAGGTCAAGACTGGGAATGGGGAGATAAGCAAGAGTCGGTGATAGAAGGTCTGAAAAAGGAGTTCGAGGAAGGAGGTCTAGTATTGGGAGTACCGGATCATGCGGCAGTAATGACCGGACCTTTCGTCGTAGAGACAGATGCAGGGCCAACTGCGCTGGGAGGAGTGTTGATTCAACGAGATCCCAACGGAGAAGAACGACCATTGAGGTTTGAGAGTCGGACGCTCAACACATTGGAGAGGAACTACTCTCAGTTCAAGCGCGAGACCTTGGCAGTTCTCCACTGTTTGAGGATTTTCAAGAACTACCTCTTTGACAACAGGTTTGTATTGAGGGTGGACCCAACCGCTCTAGCCGGGTCTCTCAAGAACTTCGCTCCTTCAAATCCAACTATCGCCAGATGGCTGACGTACATCTGGATGTTTGATTTCGAGCTGGAGCGAATTCTTGGGAACAAAAATAGAGCCGATGGGTTGAGTCGAGTCGACTGGGATAAAAACAGTCAAGGAATGACCGAGGATACTCCACCAGTCGACGAGTTCTTGGACAGTGAGGAGGATGTGCGACTCCACATCAACTCCTGGTCGTTGGCCGTAGGTAGCTACATTACTCAAGGGCGTCCTGTGTGGCTTGCGCCTCCGGGACATGCAGGACGGTCAGACTTAGTTCTTAAGCCCTATGTGGAAGAAGACTCGTGGGGAATGTGAGGCGTGGACTGGATGATGGATCCGGCCCTGGCAGGCAAGTACCAACTGCATGAGGACTTGCTCACGATTGAGGATGGGGTGCTGCAGGTGGGCCAGCACGAGAAGACGATAGGTGGGGTGTATTTGCTAGCAAATGCGCTGCTTCAGGAAGAGGTGGTCAGGAATACGGTGCTAGATCAGGAAGAGGTGGTAGAGCAGGAAGAAGGTGACAATGTGATTCACGAGAGGGAAGACGACGATTTTGACGAGGGAGAGATCAAGGAAGCGTTTCGAGCAGAGGAGTATGAGATGGTATACCTTGAACTCGGAATGCTGTTGTCGTGTGAGATGAGGGAAAGAGATGCTTGCGCAAGGGTTCTAAAGATGAGGCCGAGCTTTCTGGTAAGGGACAACCATCTATTCATGAAAAGCAAAGGGAAGACTCCCAGGACAGTAGTCTGCGGCGTCGCTCGTCAGATTTACGTTATGGTAGCACTACATGATGGTACGGCAGGTGGCCACAGAAGCACGAACACGACTTACCTCAAGATACACGAGTTATACTATTTGGATGACAGGGGGGAGATGATCGATGATTATTGTAAGTCTTGCATGCCATGCTAGGAGCGGTCCTCTCTTAGGGCTAGAGAGCTGCTTCACCCAAGATATGTTCGTGAGGTGGGAGCGGTCGTGCACTTGGACCTGTTGGCGATGCCGCTGGGGATAGGGAGCTACAACTTCATCTTTGATGCGCGGGACAACCTCTCTGGGTTTGTGGATGGCCAGGCCATTCGCACGAAGACTCGTGAGACACTGGCCCGATGCATCGAAGAGTACTACCTGCGTTATCCCTTTGTCTCCAGGTTCGTGATAGACAGAGAGTCTGAGTTCACTTGTGCTGAAGTGAAGGCTCTTTTGAAGAGGTATGAGGTGATCGCCGAGTACACTACCGCAGCGCACCCTCAGGCTAATGCACCGGTGGAAAGAGGTCATAGCACCATCACAAATCTTCTCGCCAAGTGGACTGATGGTAGACCCAATCAGTGGCCGAACTTCCTGAGAGTCGCTTTCTTCGTGGACAATATCACTGTTAGGAGAAGCACCGGCTATGCGTCGGTCACGCTATGGTATGGTAGGCACGCAACATTTCCTATTGAGAGCTTCCTAAAGTCCTGGAGGCGGCAAGACCTTGAGACTGATCAGACCTTTGAGGAACTGTTGGATTTGAGAGCACGTCAGATTGGCGCCATAAAGGACAAAATTGAGGGAGCAGCAAGTAGAGTGGCGGTCAACCGTAGCAAGGACAAGTTCAGGTGGGATAAGATGGCACGGGTAAGGAAAGAACTCCTCAAGGTGGGAGACGTGGTGCTGTTGTATGATTCATCCCTGGAGAAGCAGTGGTCACGGAAGCTGGACAAGAGGTGGTTGGGGCCGTACAGGGTCACCAGGTGTCGTGAGCATGGAGCCTACCAAATTGAGGAATTGAATGGGACGACATGGAAGGACTGGGTATCAGGTTCGAGGCTGAAGAAATTTGTGGCTCGTGACGAGGTGAGCATGGATCGTACCAGTTAGAGTCACTCTCTGAGTACTTTATGTAGAAGTATTGGCATAAGTAGAGTGTGTGGGATAGTGTCTTAGTAGAATAGCGTGACAGGTTGTGAGTTTTTGGTTAGAATCATGTGTGTATGTCTGCATATGTGGGTAGGAAGATAGTTGGGATAGTTGTGGGAAGGCTATGTCTATCTCCTGTTGTGGTTGTCCAACCTGCTTACCCTCTGTGTGCTCCAGGTTGTCTCCTCCTTGTTGTGCAGGCTTGACACCGCTTGAGGCAGCTATGCCAAGAGGAAGGGGAGGGGCAGGGCCAGTGGAAACCCCTCTGGGGGCGACCAGACAGAGGGCGCAGATGGGCATCAGGAGAGAAGACAGGCCTCCCGTTTTCCAGGGAGGGAACATTGAGCTGTTCCAGATTGAGTTCGAACGGCATGCACGGGAGTTCGGATGGGATGGTACTAGGATGTTGAGAGAGGTACGAGGCACAGGCGAGTGGAGACCCCATTGCCGGCCTTGTCAGGGAGTCACTAACCTGGCAGGATTTTGAGAGAAAGATGGAGGGTTTGCATCCGTTGCCAGTGGGAAGAGATGGACAGCCCATTCGATTTGACTCCACTAATCTGGGGGAATTTTTATGGGCCTACGACCGGTATGCGGATGAGCTCGACATCTCAGGAGAGTAGAGGATAGGAAGCTTCCTCCTGTACGTGAAGCGACACATCAGGTCGCTCGTCAAATCCATTGTGGCGCCTGCTATGAGTTGGGGACATTGCAAGAAGTTATTGTGAAACTACTATACTCCAGTACGTCTGGTAGGTGAGAGAGGAAGTTTGGAAAAGAGAAGAAGGGATCCAGAGGCAGAGGAGAGGAGAACCTTTGAACGAGGCACGTCATCAGGGACGTAGAGCAACAGAAAAATTCCCACGAGAAATAAAAGTTGAAAAAAATTCCAAAAAGAAAAAAATCTTCCTATTTATAAATTATCATTCTAATGTTCGTCCAATTCTAAAATTTCCAGTTTTATTTGATAAATTCCCGTCTAAATATGAGTTTTCCCTTCCAATAACATCTACTTGTTCAAGATGGAATGAAAGGCTGGACAAGTTTATGAAATGTTTTAAGTAAATTTTCATTCTACTACAACAAATATCTTCCAATTTCGATTGGATTAACCTATTTATGACTGAAAATCCTTACTTAGAATGAAAGTCCAATTAAAATATTTCATGAACTCATCCACACTTTCATTCCATCTCTAGCATGTAGTCCAAATAAGAGGGGTACCCGAATCTTGGAATGAAAGTTTGCAAGTAAGATGAAAAATTTTAAAAATTCGAATGATATTTTTAAAGACGGAATGAAAATTTAAAATTTAGATTGTAATTTTACTACAGAATGATTATTTAATTCTAGAAATTTTTTCCGTTGAGGGAGGACAGGAAGAAGGAGCACAGATCCCATAGACACGAGAGAGCACGAGGGTCAGGTGGTCCAGAGGTGCCTCCACAGCCTGCTCAGATGGAAGTGGATTGTCCTATGCCATGCATAGAGCCAGGCATGCCTCATGAGCCACATGGGCAGGATCAGAGGGAAGAGCAGTCTGCCCAAGAGAAGGAATTGGACAGGAAAGAGAGGTCGGCAAGGGATCAGGAAATCAAGGTCCAGCTCAGGATAAAGAACCTTGCTGAGCTGCACGAGAGGATGCGGCAGGGGAAAGAGCCTGAGCAGGTGGATGGCAAGAGTGGACAGGGCGCTTGCACTCAGGAGGAGGACCTTCCCCTATTTTCAGGGGTCTGGGTCAGCTTTGACAAGCTGATGGATGCTGCAGGGAGATCTGGAAGGCATCACCAGGAGATGGGAGTCAAGTTGGTCTCCACAGACTTACTCAATCTGAGGGGCATGATGAAGGAAGACTTCGCAGCAGCCAGAGCTTCAAATCAGAAGGTTGGAGAGAGATTGATCAAGGTGGCTCAAAAAGCATATGACCAGAGGGTGGAATGGGAAAGAGAGATCGAAGACCTGAAGAAAGGTTTGGAAAGGCAAAACAAAGAGATGGAGGCAGTAAGAGCAGACATGGAGAAAGTTTGGGCAGAAAACGAGGCCATCAGGCAGGTCAACCAGACCCTTAACAAGGTCAATGACGTCCTGAGGGCCTACTTGCAAGCACAACAACCTTCCTTTCAGACAAAGGAGGCTGAGTGGGAGAAGAGGATACAAGACCTTGAGGCCAAGTGTACGCGACAGGCTCCAACTACAGTGGTGGATTGGACAGAGGTCCAAAGATTCGGAATCAGGGAACGACCTACGGAGGACACCTTCAAGTGTCAGAAGGAGGAAGAGAGGGCATACCAGCAAGAAGGTGAAGAGATTCCTTTAATAGACAAAGAGATGTTGGAGCCGCAAGGGGTGCTAGCAGAGAAGGGCGCAGAGGTCGAAGAGTTCGAGTGGAGGTTGCCAGCTGGTCTAACACTCGGGCAGAGACCAGCAATGCCAGAAGAGAGACCATCAGTTGAGGCAATGGGAGTGGAGGTAGTTCTACCTACTACTCAAGGAGAGGTCATGGGACAGCAGGAGGGTCAGGCGAGCGTGGGTCGGACCATGTTGGAGGTTGAGTGAAGGAGGGGTTTGAAGGAATGTAAGGAGGTGGCTGTACCTCAGGAGATGCCTGTTACTGCAGATCTGCGGGATGCATTGGGATCCTGGGCAACTGGGTCAGGGCCAGAGGGACGTATCGGCGAGCAGGTGATGCGAGCAGGTGACAGAGCGACATGCAGCCCCGTCAGCAGTACCTTCGCAGAAAGGTGACAAGATGTTTCAGAAGAAGGTTGGCAAATACTTCTATTGTAAGAAGGGCAAACATCGATCTGATGATTGCCCCAAGAACCTCAAGGATGAGGCGAATGGTTTGGTTACCATGGAGTCATCTAGGGTGTTGAGAGATAGAAGTGGAATTCTAGTTCCTAAGACTTGTGATGGAGTGAGGGCGCAGTTGTATAGGCAGTTGCAGGAGGTCATGAGTGATCAGGAGTAGGGTTTTCTAATAAGGTCCGGAAAGGTCCAAGTCTAATATACGCGAGACGTCCCTGACTCTCTGACTGATGGTTACTTGTATATAGAGGGATACATGGAGGATTGGATCAGACCCATGTACATCAGCTAGTTGAGCCAGTAATGAGATGTTACTTTCGCATTATAGATTTGGAGACCTTTTCTATACATAAGATAACACTGAGTGCGATTTTGACTATTTTTTCTCTTTTTCACTAATGTGATGTAGAGTATTAATACCCTTGTAGAATAACGCTCGTGAGTGGGGAGTGATTGTCGAGTCCTGATACTTCGACACTTGGATACCTTAAATCTTTGTTGGGTACCTAAGCTCTTTGTACAATACCTTGATTTTTGTGATATGGACAGGAGCCTTTGCTCATTGCAGGGCCCCATATCCTGTGTATATATGCGAATCTCAAACCTTGTCTTTGTGTTGTGTGTGTTATGTCACACTCACTCTCAGTTTGTTGACGTGCCCATATGAATAATGGCGTGATGAGATGAATGTTGTGAAGTGAATTGATCTGCGCTTTCTTTCACTGTACTTGCGCATCCCTGTCCCAAGGACAAGTGGAGCCCAAAGTATGATGGGAGGAAGTGCTCGCAAACTTTTTGAGAGAGATGGTATGATATGTTTTATCCAGATGGAATGATGATATGTAAAGATCACAACTAAAGTTGTGTTTTATTTGTGTGTGACTTGGAAAAGAGAGAGGGAAGTCCAATGGCCGATTGGACTTTCTTAAACGGATGAAATTTGTGAGAGCACTCAGAAGAGTTGCTATAGTGATGATAAATGTTGTGCGTATGTAAAACTCTGACGAGGAAAGACCAAGTATTTTGTGAGAATAACGGATGAAAATCTCTGGCAATTATGATGAAACTTTGAAGAATATTGTATCCCTAAAAGACGTGTGACCTTATCTGCTTTTGATCAAAGTGAGGAAGGCACGACCCTGTGGAATTACTGAGGATTTTGATGGAATGGTTGAGAAAGGCACTATCCCTCCACATAATCCCGTGGGCAGTTGGTATGTGATCCTTTGGTTTCTCGAAAGATTTTGAAGAAAGTGCTAGACCATAATGAAGTCAGTCTAAGGGACGTATTGTGAGACCAAGCTAAGGGGCTATACTTAGCATCGCTGGAACTGTAGAACCTAACTCCCGACGAGGGCCGCTGACCGGCACAACCTGGCAGCGGGACCATGGCTTACCAAAGGTTAAGTCTTGAAGGGTCGGCCACTCAGAGAGGCTTAGCTAGAGGGAAAGTCATTGGGGTCGATTAGGTCAAGAGTCGGGACTCTTCGGGGTACCAAGATAGGAAGAGTTGCTTATCATTGCGTAACCAACAAGGGCACCATCGCTACATAACGACGCGGTGGGCCGTGGATTCGGCGTGATCAACCGTTCCATGGTGGGCCAAGATGGAGACCTGAAGCCATCTGTGTAAGACTCGGGGATGGTTGTTTATTGTGATATTTGAGATGGTAAGTATTACCATTTGGGGGACTAGAGGCGCCCCGTGTTTTGAGAGGTCTCGATTAGGGCCCGCATCCTAAGTTATGACCCCGTTCGTGGGACGATGACTAAATATGGCGCCCAACGGTGAACCGGCGAATGTCTACGACGAAGGGAGAGGACTATCAACCTACTACCGGGGAGTGGGTACTATGCTATAGTATGGAACAAAGTATCCCCTAACTCCGAGGCCAGGAAGTGGGAAACCCAGGTTGAAATCCTGGCAGTGGAACGCCGTAACAGGGCCAAATTGATAAGACAACCTAGAACGAAGTCGAGCCGGGGAACCGGATTGGTTGTTTCCTTGTCAGCAAGATGTGGTTGTGTTTATAGCTTTTATTGCCCAACGCGACGGGGACGTCATTTAATAAGGTCTGGAAAATTGTCGGCCCAAACACCCTTACAAGGGTATTTGGGCGCATTTTTGCAGCTTACAGGAAGACCGCTTCTGATGATATCAAGGGGCGCGTCCCATTTGTGTTGATTAGAGGGTGTGTGAGCGTGCACTTTGTGGGCACGCGCTAGCCTGACCGAGCCCGGGTCGAGGTAGACATGCGACGCCAGTAGAACAAGTGAGAGTAAACTAAAGTCTCTGAGGCGGTCGCTACCTCGCACGCACGGGCAAAGTTACGGGCAGCGTTGCCTTGACCAGGTAAAGCAGTGACTGGAGGAGGATGTTGTCTAACTTACTGGGGACTGGCGTTTCGAGGTCGCACTGAGAGGAATTTCGCAGGCACTAGGATGACCGTGCACCGCCAGTAGCAGGCGGCGCCGCCAAGACCTGAGTAAGGGTGGCACGGATCATAGTAGAGGCCAGGGCTTCCCGGCGTAGAGATGGCGGAAAAGCGGCTTTCCAAGAAAGAAGCAGCGTGGGGTAAGCCCCAACTTGGTGGCAATAATACTACGGGGCCATCTGCATGGCAGGCCGAGTGGAAGCCTGCATGTGAGCCCACTGAGATGCGCCTATAGAACTGTGGGCTTGAGGGGGGAAGTTAGCAGCAGCAGCCTTAAGGCTGCTGCTATAGGCCCAGGCTGGCGGGCCGAACCGTTCACATATAGGGAAGCGCCTAGCCTGTCCAAGCTTGGGCTTAGCCCTACAGGTTACATTATTGGATTTTCACCAGGCGGATCCCGGGATTCGAGGCCAGCAGCGAGCAGCAGAGCAACGGAGGAGTGCATTGGAGTGAGCCGAAGGGTTGAGGGTCCCGTGGGACTATCCCCCTTGGCTTTTTGCGGGGGGTTCCGACCACGAGCCCGGGAGGGGGGACCGAGGACCAAGCGCCAACGGCCCTCCTCCCCTAGTCCACTGTCTCATAACTCTTCCTAGATTTTTAATTTATTTTTTATTTTTTTATTTGTTATTCTTTTTATTTTTACTTTGTAAGTCCCATTGAGGGGCGTGGTCCGGTACCGATCTCAAGACCGACCGTGAAACCAGCAAGCCTAGTTCGGTGGATAAATCCACGAACTGCTGAGATACCGCTACCGTGCTACTGTCCTTCGAGACATCCGTTAGAATTGGAACAATACAGCCTGCCCCTGCACAAGGCTGACCCGTATAAATAAAGAGGATCGTCTCTTTTTGCTTGCCGATTGTGAGTGTCATCGGAGAAGGGAAGGCAGCGTGGACTACTGGGGGAATGGTAGTAAGGAGGAGAGAGGGAAAGGGTTAGAAGGGAGGGGGACAGTGCAGGAGAGCGCAGCACCACGAGAAGGGAAGCAGCAGGTACAAAAAAAAAGGGGGGAATGAACTTGGATGCAGTTTCGCGCCAGGTGTATTCGAAGGAGGACGGAGAAAAGTTCAGAAACAACGTCGGAGCTAGGAGATATGGCAGAGTGAAAGGTTACAGCATGCCTATTTCTTAATGAAATTTGGCAGGGGAAGGTGCTAACCTGAGGTTTTGAGGCAAGGCGAGTCAGGTGGGGTTTTTAGTTTGAAGGATGGACTAGTAGAAGGGGACGAAGAGAAGAAAAATAATGCGCGGAGGTGACGGGGCGTTGGATATGGTCGCTTGGGAAAAGGCAGATCTCGCCCGTTTCTCAACAGAAACGAGCGAGTGAAGACTTGAAGTGGGGGTTTTGAGGCGCTACGGATCTATTGGCCACATCAGATTGTTGGATTGGGCAACAGGTAAGCCAGTACGAGCAGGAGAGACTGCGGGAGCATTATAGGAAGAGTCGAAGTATGAGGATGTATCTTCCCCTGTTCTAGTCAAAGATTCATTCTCATACTGAAAATTTTGTGAGCAGCGGAGCAGGCTACTCTGTCACGAGCAGATTGACTAATCGTGATCTCCAAGTTCACCTGGTCGATATCATCGTGGCCATGAGGAGCGTCGCCGACCAAGTCGTGGCCGTCGTAGTGCTTGGTGTGTTCATCTTCATCTCCGTGTGTGTAGTCTTGCGGGAAGTGGATACTTACCTGATGACCAGCGACATTCAAAGGCTGAGGGGGGTAGAGAAAAACAGGAAGCACGAGGGTAGCAAGGGCAGGAAAGAAAGGGAATGAAGGTGAAGCTGATTTGTACCAGATACATTCAGCAAAGAAAATGGTGAAAATAGAGTATGGCGGGCGCGACAAGTTATAGCATGCTCGATTCTTAGTGAGATTATGTGGGGAGAGGTGTGAAGTAGTAGTTTTTGGGTCAGATGGAGTGAGTGGTGGGGTTAGTCTGGCGTGTGGGTTGGTAGAATAGGAGTAAGGGAGAGAAGTTGGTGCGTGGAGAAGTCGAGGAGGATGAGAAGAGGACCAGTGGAACTGAAAAACTAATATCTCGCACATTCCTCCACGGAATCGAGCGGGGTAAAATGCTAACTGGGGGTTTTGGAACATTATAAAGTGCATGGCCATGGTGGATTCCGCACTAGGTGCATAGTTTGGACGGTGTGAGCAGTGGGAGCTGCGCCCAAGAGTAAAGTTTTTTCTAAAGGTATCTTCCCGTGTTTTAGGGGGAGATTCA